GAGTGGCTTGGTCCTGCCTGAGGGCCTGCGCCAGCGGACCAGGCCAGCGCCATGTGCAGCCCCTGGGTCTAAGGCGGTGCTGTACGCTGCCAGTTGAGTAGGTCAAGGACATTCAGAAAAGGTTAGTTTAACATTTAGAAACTGTTGTGGGAACCGTCGATCCTCCTGGATCACGGTGTATAGTCTTAACATATAACTGCTCCAAACTCAAGCTACCCCCCCCATACAGTCATAGTTTCATAGTTTCATAGTTTTAGGGTTGGAAGGGACCTAATAGATCTTCTAGCCCGACCCCCCGCCAGGGCGGGAGAACAACAAAAGAACCCTAAAAACAAAAAAACGGGACTCAAATGAGTCCAGCCAGGTAGGTATCCAGCCTCTTCTTAAAGATCCCCAGGGTAGGGGCCAGCACCACCTCCCTTGGAAGTTGGTTCCAGCTCCTAGCCGCCCTAACTGGGAAGTAGTTTTTTCGGATGTCCAATCTGTTCCTCCTCTCCATCAACTTGTGCCCATTACTCCTTGTTATGCCAGCGGGGGCTAGGGGAAACAGCGTCTCCCCCAAACCCTTCTGGTTCCCCCTAGTGAGTTTATAGACGGTCACCAGGTCCCCCCTCAGCCTTCTCTTGTGGAGGCTGAATAGGTTCAGGTCCCGCAGTCTCTCACTGTAGGGTCTGCCCTGTTGTCCCCGGATCATGCGGGTGGCCCTCCTCTGGACCCTCTCCATGTTGTCCACATCCCTCCTGAAATGGGGCGCACAGAACTGGACACAATACTCCAGCTGCGGCCTGACCAGCGTCGCATAGAGGGGGAGGATCACCTCCCTGGCTCTACTCGAGATGCACCTGTGGATGCACGACAAGGTCCGGTTAGCCCTGCCAACCATGACCTCGCATTGTCGGCCCATGTTCATCTTGGAGTCAATAATGACACCAAGATCCCTTTCCGCCTCCGTGCTCTCAAGTAGGGAGTTCCCCATCGTATAAGTGTGCTGCTGGTTCCTACTACCCAAGTGCAGCACCCTGCACTTGTCCGTATTGAAACACATCCTGTTCCTGTTTGCCCACCCCTGTAACCTATCCAGATCCTTCTGCAATCTCTCTCTCCCTGCTAGCGTGCTCACCTCCCCCCAAATTTTGGTGTCATCAGCGAATTTAAACAGGTTGCTTTCCACCCCAACATCAAGATCGCTGATGAAGAAATTGAACAGCGCAGGCCCCAGGACCGAGCCCTGGGGGACTCCACTACCCACCTCCCCCCAAGTCGAGTATGATCCATCCACCACCACCCTCTGAGTGCGACCCTTCAGCCAATCTGCAATCCATCTGACTGTGTAGGCATCTATGCCACAGTCGCCTAGTTTATTAATTAGGATGGGGTGAGAGACGGTGTCAAAGGCCTTGCTGAAGTCCAGAAAGACTACATCCACCGCGACACCTGCGTCCATGGCCTTTGTGACCTGATCGTAAAAGGCAATCAGGTTGGTCTGACATGATCTCCCCCTAATAAATCCATGCTGATTGCCCCTGAGCATCATTTCTGATGCCGGCCCATCACAAATGTGCTCCTTGATGATCTTCTCAAAGAGTTTCCCCAGGCTTGAGGTAAGACTGACGGGCCTAAAGTTGACCGGGTCCTCCCTTTTCCCTTTCTTGAAGATGGGGACCACATTAGCTACCTTCCAATCGTCTGGCACCTGGCCCAAGCACCACGATCGCTCGTAGAGCCGTGCCAGGGGCCCTGCAATAACCCCAGCTAGCTCCCTCAGCACCCTGGGGTGGAGAGCATCCGGACCCACTGACTTGAACGCGTCCAGCCCCTCCAGAAGGTCTCTAACCCGGTCCTCCCCAACCTGAGGTCTGAAGGCGATCCCCTCGCGTCCGGCTTCTATCACAGCAGGGAAGTCCTGGTCCCTGCACAAGAAAACGGAGGTCCTTCTACCCCCACTCCTGCCCACCCCTACAGTGTCTCCACCCCCACATCCCTACTTACCCGGGACAGAGCCTGGGTGTGAGCTGCTGCTGCTGCCTTGCCCCACTGCTATTTGCCTCAGTATGCCAAGCCAGCATGGGCACAGGGCAGCCATAGAGATGCTCTGGCCAGGTGCCAGAGTATCTCTGGAAGACCAGCCTCCAGTTGCTTCAGGGCATGCTCCAAATGTGTGCCCTGTGCTGCTTTTTTCCAGTATGTTATTTTTTGATACCAGAATTTCCCTCTTCTCTCTTTTCCCCCCTCCCATTATGAAAACAGCTGGAGACTGGGAGGCACTGTAGACAGAAGTTGCAGAAGATGCTTTGTTTTGACATGTCTTAATCTGACACCTCATGCAAAGAGGGTTCAGGTTTTCGCCCAATCGACCATTTTTTTTTTTTTGAAGCTGTCTGCAGCTTGCGTTTGGTCATGGCTATAGACTGCTTTCTGTGGTCAGATCAGGTGAAAATTGTCACTTCTATATGCGCTCTTATAGTATTTTAAACTATTTTGACCTGTTGTAGTCTTTGTGAGTTCTTCGCAACAGAAGGATTGCTCTGTTATTTTATCTGTAGTCTTAAATTGAGTGAAAATTATGTTCTCTGAGGGGTGCATTAAGTCTATCAAGGAGTGAATCTAAAAAGGTTGAGAACCAGTGGTTTAGGCACATGATTACTTTGCAACCAATATAGGAACAGTATATATATATATATCTTTTAGTATGTTTGTACGTCAGTCCCAAACATGAGTCCTTCCATTTTAGGAATTGGATATTTGTCTTGGAAAAGTCTATCAAGACTACTTCTTAGTTGGCCATTGTAATTGCAGTTGGATGGGGCCATCCTTTTGTCACTCCCATACAACTGTCCTACCACAGGAGAAGCCAATCAACGTCCCTTTTTCACTTTTTCCAGATTCCCACACCTGATCTGTGTATTCTGGAAACCAAGTTCTATCTAACTGAAAGAAAGTGTAGCTTTGTGAGAAAAGGTTTGTGTGTATAGTTGGTGTTTCTGGTTTCTTATGCTGTTTTCACTTGCCTGTTATGTGGTTTATATTTATTTTCCCTACCTCCCGTTTCATTTTTCATTTAAGAATTTCTGAACAAGATACTTTATTTTTGCAGTGTCCCCAAACTTTTATTTTGTTTGTCTTTAGTTACCTTAAAAATGGGAGCTGCTATAGAAAATTTATCTGTGTATGAGTGCCATTAATAAGAGAGGACTTGTAAAAAGAACATTTTCCTGTATTCTGAAGGAGATGATTCCCAGCTGTGAAAGTGGAAGAACATCGGTAGATTGTGGTATTGGTCATATATTGCTGACTCTATAACTGGGGGGAAATAAAATTATTGACTCATTGTTATAGAGTTAAAATGACTCAACATTTGTTTAGAATTGCTGATAAAATAAATAAATAGATGCTCATACATCTATCTCAGTTAGCTTTTAAACAGTTCTTCGGTTCTCTTACCTCCATTAATTAGAAGTCAGAAGGGTCAATCTGTTGATGAAATTCTGCCATGCTGAAATCCTGCCATATACAGACTTAATACTGATTTAATTAGAAGTTATTAACAGGGAATAGATGCAGGGATTGGGCCTTTGGGGAGGAGATAGTTATAACATTTGTTCAGGGTCCTTTTCCAAGGCTAATATAAAAACTTAAGTTTTGCTGAAATCCTCTTATACAGACAGTAAAAAAATAATGTAGGGTGTAATGTATGTCTATATAAATAGAGATATAAATAATGAAAACCTTAATGTGTGTGTATGTATATTACAAAAAGTGCAGGGTTGATAACATTTTGAACTTTGCGCAGGGTGAATTACATTGGATGAAAATGGCAATGCAAAATGGCTGTAAGGAATATCTGTCAAATGACTTTTCTTTTATCCTATTCCTTTAGTAATATTAGCATAAATTAATGGTTTTGTTTCTTTAAAGGTGATCTGCTGTGATATTTTTGTCTTTTTAATTGGATTTCTGGCATTTTTTTTTTTTTTTTGCTGCTGCTGTAAAATATGTATAGCAAGCATTGAACATTTTTATCTCTCTCAAAAAAAAAAAAGTTTTTTTTAAAAGGCTTATTTTTAATTTAGACTTATCGAGAAAGGTGTGCTTAATCTTTGTTGATTTTCCTGGAAGTCATGTTGGAGGTGTTGTTTCTTAACTGAAGAGGAACTTAGCTATAAATATTCACCAATAAATCCTTTCACCCAACTTAGATATTGGAATTATATAAGGGTGGACAAAAAACTAAAAACTTCTAACACGTGCAAAAATCCTTAATTTTTTAGCTTTTGGTCTTAAATTTTGCTAATTCTTTAGTTGTCATGTCTATCCAAGCAGCAGCTAGGATATAGATTTCTAATGTAAAAATCAAGCAGAAAACATTCCTTTTTCTCTTAGAAAATATCAAGTGTTTCTATGTATCATAAGGAATCAGGAAGGGCATGAGCCTGATTCTAAAGATGTAGGTTACCCATAAAAGTGTAATACTTGATTGTGAATTGAAATGTTATGATGATGAATGAAAAGCATGATTAGGATATTTGCATTAGGAGTATTTTTTTCTAGCACAATGTGCCATAGTTTTAAAAAAAAATGTAAAGGTATTGAATTCTTCAACAAAAGGCTGAAAGATCTTTTAAAAGATAAAAACACTGGTCTTTTGATAAAATGCTTTGAAAAACATGTATGGTTTAGTGTTTTAGGAACTAAAGTCTTTTTTTTTTTTACTGCTTTGTTAGCTTGAGCTATACCTGTTCTGACTTCTGTCTGTACCCAAAAATAAGTAAGATAAGTAGTACTCTCAGTTTGAGCTTGCCAGTCCAGTAGCAGGTATTTTGAAACATTAGTGCTGCTGATTCTTAAGCATAAGGGTTAATACCAAGGTAACAATTATATGCTCAATATTTATATTAAATGTAGACATTTTACATGTCCCTTCTTGAAGACATTCATATTGTGTTAAACTTTTTGGCCAATAACATTTTACTGCAATTAATTTTTTTTATTTTTTCTTACAGTAAACATAGCCCTTGCATTAGCAGCAAATGACTCGGTAGGTGACTAATTATTAGTTTAACATTAAAACTAATTTAGCATAAAGCTAATTCAACTTATGTAAATAATACAGTTACTATTGGGGAAGTCATCAGTGAAATGAACATAGTTTCTCTGGGAAGATTGTTTTTTAATAGCCTTGAATTTACATTTATTGTGCTAATGCAATAAAATAAGTCAATGACTCAGTAGCTCTGATTCTTCATTTGGCTTTGTTAGTGGTGTTCCCATTCCACTGTAAGTGTCAGTGACTTCACTATGGTTTTGCTGGGGATGCACGGGCATATGAGTGAATATTGATGTGGGGTTGGAGCCTGTGTGATATGGATTTGGAAATTCATGATATGGAATTGGAAAAATTATGTGTATGTGGCTACTGCTCAAAACATTTTTCATGGTAATGCAGGTTTACTTTTTTTTAAAGGGAAAATTAGTATTACAAAAATGCTTTAAAAAAAGGTTGATGAAAAAGATACTCAATATTTCCCAAGGTCTAAGAAGTGTCCATCTTGAAAAATAAAAATGAGGAAGATTATTACAATAAACCAGTGATTCTCAATCAGGATGCTATGACATCCTTTTAAGAGTGATATTAATACTGTTTGGTGTGCAAACAAATTTCACAAGATAAACCCAGAGATTTCAAATAGGCATCCGTTCTCACTTTTTGCCTCAATTGTCCTGTGAAACAGAGGGGATTCCAATTTATAGTTTGGGATGGTGTAGTGCAGGAGGAGACCCTTGACTTTAGTGGTCCAGCCCTGCTCTGTAATAAGCAGGGATCTGGGTTTTCTGTATTTTGTGGAAAAATACGGATTTTCTTCTTTAAAGGAGAGAAACCTGGGAAATTGCAGGTTTCCCCTTGCAGGCTGGCCGAGTTCCAGCCTGCAAGGGGCTGTTTGTTTGGGGCTATGGGGAGCAGGATGGAGGGGGCGCCATGTGCATGTGCTCACGCATGCATATGTGGTAGTCATGCAGTGGTGGGGAGCAGCTCCTGTAGCTCCCCCCCAAGTAAGTCTGTGGGGGGCTGGGACTGAGGGGGTACAGGCAATGCAGTGGGGGGGCCACAGGCCATGTATCATGTTGGGGGGGCCAATGCAATACCGTGGGGTGGAGCACACGAATTTTCTGTGCCCACAGCAGGGCATGGGGCTGCAGCCAGACCACACCAGTTCTGGAGGAGTCGCCACTGCAGCCTGGTGGGCAGGACCCAGCACAGGAGGGAGTGACACATCCTCTGCCTGCCCAGTAGCAGTGGGGACACAACTCTGTGCCGCTGCCGCAGGTCCCCATGGCGATATGGCACTCCCTCATGCACTGGGTCCTGCCTGCTGGACTGTGGAGGTGGCTTCTTTGGAGCTGATCCAGCCTGGCTGCAGCCCTGCACCCCACTGTGGGCACAGAAATCTTGGAAGGCGTGTGCCCCCACCCTGCCGCATTGCCTGTGCCCTCCCACATCCACTCGCACTCCCCCTTCCCCACATACCCACTCCTTTTCTCACACACTGGGGGCTGTGGGTGGGGAGTGAGGGGCACCGGCAGGGCCAGGGGGCTGTGGATTGGGACTAAGGGGCACCATCTTGGCTGAGGTGCTGTGGCTTGGGAGTGAGGGGCAACATCATGGGCAGGGCACTGGCATATCAGGGCTGCTCAGCACCACAAAGCAGCAGGGCGGACAGCTACAGCTGGACCCATGTCCTGATGAACAAAAGGGGCAGGGGAGCTCTGATTTTTTCCAAGGTAAAAAAATCCAAATCAAATGCCAAAATATATAAGTACTTAGAATGTATTTTATTATGATGATAGAGGCACTAGAAGGCTTCTAAATTGCTTTAAAATTGTAAATATATCAATAAGTTGAACATAATGTTTTATACCTGTTTATGTCTATGTCTGTAAATGGTAGCATTTCATTTTAATCATGGAGAAATATGGATTTTGGAGTATTTAATCAGAGACTTTGGGGTTTTAAAAGTTGGGATTTTTGAACAGATTAAACGAGGATTCCTGGTAATAAGCATTTTCCCTTCCTTTCAGTTCTGTTACTGGTTGTGATAATAGTGCATACAGGATTTCTGCAGCAGTTTAAACTTGCTGTAACCAGTTTTAAGGGTGGATATAAACAGATGCATGCTGGTGATGGAGTGAACACACAAATATATTTGACACCATTATAGTGGTATAGAGCTCACACAGTTCATAGTTATTTTGACTGCGCTGATGCACTAGCTGAGATGTTGGCTGAGCTGCTACACTAGCATCATTTGAAGCTCAGCATCCCTCATGGCTTCTAGAGTAGGTGCCCCAGTACATGCTGGGAACTTGAGGCCAAATTGTCAAAGGCCTTTATTTCTGCTGATTGCAAGTTAGCCAGATGACTTGGCTGAAGGTTCTTATGCAGAATTATTCATCACGAAGCCATGGACTCTGTTACTAGTTGTGATGATAGTGTGGACAATGCTTCTGCCATGTACCAGTATTCAGCTCCTGGTAGGAATGTGGAGGGCTCTTCATGTTAAAGAAATCTTTCCACCCTCCTTTTGAAGGTTTTATTGATATGGTTTGCAGGGCTGTTGAGGTAGCTAGCCTTTTCCTGCAATACTTGGGAACTGTTAATTTAAGCTGGTGAATGTTGCGGGTTAAACTCCTGTGCACTGACTTGGGGGCAGATGTGAATGAGATGTCTCTCTGCTACTTCCTCTATTATTTGATGTGTTTGTCCATCTTGCCTGGGTAGTAGAATTACCATGAGCAAAAACAAACCAGCTGCTGTGGATGCCCAGGATGCTTGTAACTGAGAAACTGGGAAAGTGTAAAGCCAACATGTGTGTCACAACCCAAAGTTGTGGTCTTTCTTGTTTGTGTGTGCTTTGGCATCGCTAAATCATGTTCCCGCCAAATTGCAGCTCTTTTGCACGGTGGAGTGTTCTGCTGCAACAGAGAACCCGTGTGCAGGAGCTTTTCCCGCCAGTTCTGTAGCTTTCTTTGCATAGTGCATTTCTTTTGCATTATAGTAATGCGCGATGCAAGGAGTCCCTGCCATTTGTATTAGGATTCGCGCCACATTATTGGCCAGTCTTAGTGTAGGCACACGTGGCGGCTAGCTATTGGCTTGCTAGCCGTACAAAAGGCTTGGGTGGTTTCCGCCCAAATCGGAGAGAGAAAAAGAAAGCACGTGGAGTTCGGGAAAGGAGCGTGAGGATCTCTAAGCGCTGCTGATCCATACGAACCCAGCTTTTTCTGTAAGAAGGCAACAGAGGTTTAATTTATCGAACCCACGGAGCTTCAACAACTCCGCGGGACTTATTTACCGTCCCCTCGGAGCCTTAACGACTCCGAGGCAACTAACCTCTAGCCTCTCCCCGTCACCGATTGCCGCCCCGACGTATCCCTATCCTAAGGACCCAATTGTCGA